CTCTCATTGATTATATGCACTTACCGTCTCCTCTTACAGTCAGAGCTAGTAAGAGTAGAAGAAGGGAGTAAGTTCTAATACAATAAAATACAGAAACGGTTCGTCTCTCTCTTTTCATCTTTCTTCTCCCATCTGGCGACTCATTGGGTAAAATAAACGGCCTTCTGGTTATCTCTTTTCCTTTCTTCTCTTTGGATCCTTCAATGGACAAGAGAGAGGGGAGAAAGATTTGGTACAAGAAACTTGAAAATTTTCTACCTTTTTATTGGAGTAGTTTTTGAGTATACTGAGTTTTACGGAAAAGCGGTTTATGTTCGTGTGCAATCATGTACGGAATAACACGGACATGCAGGTGTGTACATACATACACAAAATTATGGCTTGGTTAATTGGTTTGATAATTACATCTATTTCTATCTCTTACTTATTGTTTAGAATTTATTCATTTATTTCAAAACATGCAGTCAGACAAAGACACAACAGTGTTTGGAAGCTCGACGGAAATATTAACAACAGTACCAATGACTTGAACAATCAGTCGTTAAAAATGCAGCTATTATGTCCGACAAATGTAGATAAAAATTTTCTTAAATAATATTAAATTCTAGTATTTATTTTTGATTTTATTTTAGGATTCACATATAGTGTCTGGTTGTGGGTTTTTCGTGACATACAGAAAAAACGGAAATTTTCTCACCCTAAATTCCTTTGATAGTGTTCTTAATCGTGAAATAGAGAAAGACAAGATTAAAACAAAAGAGCTTTCTCTACCGCCTGGAAAAGGTTTAAAAACTGTTTCTTGTGGACGTAGTCACATAATTGCTTTAACAAATGACAACACAGGTACATATAACCAACTAATGCCACCTGCTCTTTTAGTCCGTGAGAATGGTTTACGCCAATTATCATGTCAACAAAATATTATGATACAAATATTTTAAATTTTCTATAGCATTCGCTTACGGGCTGACATCCCTTGGACAATGTGGCGTGGTGCCTCCTCGTTCTCGCATCCTTTACATCGTAGGAGATGCTGTCATGGAAATAATTGGAGACAAATTTAAAGTATTCCAGGTACATAACATCGCAATATGCATAATATTGTACTGCTTAATTTAATTGTCCATTCACGTCATACGTGATGTAGTGTGTTCATTTTTATTCTACCACACACAGTTTGAATAGATGCTTTATCGGAGGTAAATATACATGTACTACAATGCAAATTTTTTGTATACTTTGGGTGTACAGGGACTTTGGTCAAATTTCACCAAATGACTAGGAGAGAATTCTCTCTTTTAATATTTTTTTCTGAAACATATACATGTTCTAATGTTGTGTAGCAAGTTTGAGCTGATTCCGATCAGAATTGGATTTTTTTACGAATTTTTTAAAGTTAGCAAATGTAGTAGTGAGATGTCAGATTTGATGCTCATTTGTTATGCACGTATTTGTTTATGCCTATGTGCACGTGCTTTGATGCCTTCATGATATGCCTAAATAAGGTACTATGATAGTCCCAATATAATAATGTGTATTAGAGTCCTGTGTACACAGGAATACACAACACACCTGCTTGCATGCTTGCAATAGATTATGTGTACATTTAGCGCCCATTGATTACATGTGGTTACATTGTTGTACGTGTGCCTGTTACATATATGATAGTGCCTTATAATAAATTGTGCAATATTATGAATGATGAGAAGCGGTGTGTCTCATTCTGGTAATCCTATACTAATTTCATTACACTGTCTAATGATAGCAGAATTGCAACAATGACGGCTATCGGTGAATTATTTTTTTAAATCTAGGTTTCTTGTGGCCTCGATCACACTTTGTTCCTTGGTCGAAATGGAAAGGTTTTTGCTTGTGGGTGGGCAGCAGATGGACAGACAGGTACACACATACACACAATCAATCAATTAAAATTCAGTCATTATTGAAATTAAAAGCATAATTCTCATAAAACCAACATATGCTCTACACGTACATATACATGTACATGTCTTCTATCCAAACATTGCAATACTACATGACCCAAAACATTCATCTGTGGGTGCCCAGTAAACAGATTTTAAACCATCTAACTGCTGTCCACAATGTTACACAGCATCATCGGTCAGCTCTTTCCTTAAAAATACAATTTCATTGATGTGTGGCAGGCCCTAGTTGCACCATTGTCGTCAAAATATTGACTTTTGGAGAGCCTGATCAGTACATTTATTATATGCTATTGCATAAGGGAAGGACTGTGAAGCTATTATCTCAATCCTGTTAGCATTGTTTTCATAAGCCCACCCCAAAGCAGCCTTTGATGGAGAGGGTATCTTTTAATGGGCCTACAAATGAACCTGGTGATAATGAGATTAGCTGATTAGACAAAAGAACCTCATGTTGTTGTTGTTGTTGCTATTGCCTCAAATAGCCCCTTGAAAATGGTCCTGTCATGTGAAATCATTTTCGAAATTGGAGGCCGGAGGCGTATTAGAAGAAGTGATGCTTTTATTATTGCCTTTAATTGGCTTGTAGTGATAGTACAAATTATCACATTTTTACCATTCATATGCCATGGTTACTGAAAGTGTAAGCATACAATATATATATACTGCATGTACATGTACATACACTGGATCCTCAAAGCTATATGGTATTCATAATATATTATGGTACTGTGTGTGTATGCTAGGTACTGGTGCAACATCATTCAATGCAGTCCCCACTCCAGTGGTTGGCGATATTAATGAACACGTTGTTACTAGGATCTATACTGGAGCTAATACAAGCTTTGCTATTACAGGTAATACCAATAATGATGATGATAGTAATAATAATAATAATAATAATAATAATAATACATGTAGTTTCTCTTTCTGTTTTTTGTTTCTTTTTTCTTTCTATGTACAGGGTCCTCCCTTTTTGTCCCCCTTTTGTCTGTTTTGTGTCTTTCTTATAATGATAATAATAATAATAATAATAATAATAATAATAATAATATACACTTTTGAAAAGTACATAATACTAATGATAGCACATAATACATGAAAGCATAATATTTCTGCATGTACTCATGCAATGATGCATGCATTTCTATATTTCGCATGGTACATTCCACTAACTTTCACTTTAAAACACCTCTTTGTGTAACTGATACTATTCATGTGTAAATCCTCTAAAATGTCCCTCCCTTACCACCAAAAGAGGCGTCGAGCCTTATAGCGGCATTAAGGGCGGCGAGCCATCTGGAACAGATGATCGCTTTTCCTCTTGTAGTATGTAAGAAAGGAATCTACAGTATGTGAGACATTGACATATCTTTAACTTTAATTGGATTGAGATATGGGTGGTCTGTTTAAAATAGTAACTCAAGATTGTTTATATCACTCAAATTGGAGAGTGAGAGAGAGAGAGTAAGACGCTAATTACGGTATTTAATGTAAACAGTGACTCTATACACGTGTATAATATATACGTGTATGGCCCGTCAATAAGTGATGCAACGTGTATTGATATTCGTAGAGTGGAAGAATTTGCGTAGCTAATGGGTTTGTTTAAAATTCCAACTGATTAGGCTATTATCTGTATAAAGACACACACATACACAGAGCCGGAGACAGAGAGACTCGAGAAATTAATGCACATCAAAATAGCAGCCGCAATTAAAATTACTAAAATAAACTAAATGTGTAAAGGGCCCATTAAAAGGAGAAGAAAGAGAGAGAAGTATGCAGACATACTAATGCCAATCACACAGCTGCAGACACTATTTGGTTTCATCTTGTTGTTATGGTTATACTTCAGAGAGTGGTCTCCTTTATGCTTGGGGTAATAATGAATACGGTCAGCTGGCAATAGAAAGCGACAAGCCACAGGTGAGGATCGAGGGCTCGAGTTTTGATGTACATTTTGAATATTATTTCATAGGTTGTTGAGCCTCGAGTGGTGGATGACTGTTCTCTTAACGGAGGAGTAAGACACATTGCAGCTGCAGATACTTTTACCACTTTTATGACTGGTAGGGAGAGAGAGAGAGAAGAAAGGAAGAATATACTTTATGTAGTTCTAAAAGCATGCATGGGTATAGACTAATCAAAGGGCAGATTAGTCAAAGTTAATGAAAAACATATAAAAAGAGGAAAACCGCAAGTCATGCATGGCGTAAACGTGGTCCATAAGTTACTGGATGGGAACAATGAATCACATTCAAAAGCACAGACATGTCTAATATGATATCAGTTATAATTGATTAGTGGTAAACATGACAAAGTGAATTAAGACAAATTATGCCAAAAATGAGAAAATATTAATAAGAATTACAATATGAAAGAGCAAGAGAGAGACATGAGTAACACTCCTTATAAGCTACACTGTCAGAACAGTTCTTAACTGAGTAAACACACTTAATTGATTATTCTTACTACTAGTGTACTAATAGTATAGTTCATGCAGGAGTTCAACAGTTTGTTTGAAAGTGTTCATAATTCTTATTTTATTTTTAGAATCTGGTCAATTGTTCACATGTGGATATGACCCAGGGCATACAGACCCATCACCAAAACTGAGACAATACAATAATGAGTGTTACACTGATGTGAAAACAGGTCTTCATTACTGCATTAAAAAGATGGCCAGTGCTAGAAGTGAAGAAGGTACAAAATAATTTATAATTTAGCTCCAAATTTCTACTAAATCCAATTG